AACACAAAATATGGGAGCTACTTCTTCAGGAGTACAAATTTAAGCCTTGGTATTAAAATAATAACAAGGAGACTCTTTGAGCTAGAGTGGTATACTCTACAATAATGAAGAGATGTTTTTTGTTTCACACAGTGAAACAGATAAGTATATTCACAATATGTCCTATTAATACCATATGAGGGAAAAACAAAATATAAACTGTTTTTATCCTTGTTTATACCAAGAATGGGATTATAGAAGCCTTCCAAAATTCATAAAATTTATAAAATTAAATTAACATATAATTTATGCTATGATGTAAACTAATATAAAAGGTAAAGAATAAAAATTTTAAGAGGAAGGGACATAAAACTGCTGGTAGGTTGATGTAAGAATAAATCCCAAAGGAAATAGTAAAAATAAAAGCAGAAAGCAATAAAATTGAAAATAGGAAAATAAAGCTGGTTCTTCAAAAGAAAAAAGTCAATAAAGTTGACAAACCTCAGGTAAAACTGACAAATTTGACAACAGAAGACACAAATTATCAGTAACAGGGAAAAAAAAAAACAAACAAAAAAAGGATGTCACAACAGATTATGCAGCCATTTAAAGGTAGACAGGAAACACTATGAACAATTTTACTCTCATAAATGTGACAACTTGGAAGAAAGGGACCAACTCCTCAAAACCACATACTACCAAAACTCAGCCATGATGAAACAGATAAGCTGAATAGTCCTACAACTATTTAAGAAATTGGTATTGTAATTGAAAAGTCCCAGAAAAAAAAAATCCAGGCTCATTTTCTTTCATTGTAGAATTTTAGCAAACATGCAAAGAAGAGTTACCACCAATTTTATACAATGTCTACCAAAAAATAGAAGCAACACTTACCAATTGATTTTTATTAGGCCATTATTACCTTAATACTAAAACTAGAAAATAATAGCACAAGAGAAAAACTAAATAAACTACCACAGACCAACATCTCCCAAAGGCCTAGAAACAAAAATCTTCAACAAAATTTTAGCAAATTGAATCTAACAATGCACAAATAGATATATACCATAACTAACTGAAATTCATTTGGGATATACAAGGCTAGCTCAGTACATAAAAATGAATCAACGTAATCTGTCATATCAACAGAACAAAGAAGAAAAATTTTATTATCATATAAATTGATGCAGAGAAAGCATTCAACAAAATTCAATACCCATTCATAATAAAAATTCTCACGCAGGGCACATTGGCTCACACCTGTAATCTCAGCACTTTGGGAGGGCCAAGATGGACAAATTGCTTGAGCCCACGAGTTTGAGACCAGCCTGGGCAATACAGTGAAATCCCTATAAAGTCTAAAAAAATTAGCCAGGCATGGTGGCATCTGCCTGTAGTTCCAGCTACTTCGGAGGCTAAGATGGAAGGATCACTTGAGTCAGGGGAGGCTGAGACTGCAGCGAGCCATGATCACACCACTGCACTCCAGCCAGGGTGACAGAGTAAAACCCTGTCTGAGAAAACAAAAACAAACAAAAAAAAATAGGTTTTATATAGTTGGGAACCTTTTCAACCTCATAAATAACAGCTGCAATAATCCTACAGTTAGCTTCATACTTAATAGTGAAAGACTAAATGCTTTCCCTCTAAAATGGAGAACAAAGCAAGTTTCACCTGCTCTCATCAACCTTATTAACAAAGGATTGGACATTCTTGCCACTTCAACAAGGCAAGGAGAAAAAAGTAAAAATCAAAGTAAAGGCTGGAAAGGAAGAAATAAAACTACCTCTGTTTATAGATGCCATGATTGTCTGCATAGAAAACTCTAAGGATTCCATGAAAAGCCCCTAGAACTAATAAGTGATTTTAGTAAACTCACAGAATACAAAATCAATACAGAAAAATCTATTGCATTTTATATACTGACAATGAACAAGTGAAAAACAAGCTCACAAATCAAATTCTACTTAAAATTTTCTCCAAAAAAAAAACTTAGGTATAAATTTTAACAAAACCTAATATTGAGAAATTGTATTATAAAAATGCTGATGAAAGAAATAAAATTTTTAAAGTTTAAGAAATATACCATGTTTGTAGATTGGAAGAATCAGTGTAGTAAAAATGTCGATTCTCCCTAAATTGCTATAGGTTAAACACAATTCCTACTAAAATCTCATTAGTTTCTTTGTGGACATAGACAAGCTTATTCTAAAATGTATATGAAAATAGGTCTTAGAATAGTCAACATAATTCTGAAAGAGAACAGAGTGAGAGGAATCATTTTTCCCTGTTACGACTTACTATACAGCTGTAGTAATCAAGGTAGTGTGATATTGGCAGAGGGATGGACACATAAATCAGTGGAACAGAATAGAGAATTCAGAAATAAATTCAAACAAATATGCCCAACTGATATTTGGCAAAGGAGCAGAAGCAATTCAACGGAGGAGGGATAGCCTTTTCAACAAACGGTGCTAGAAGAATTGGTTAACCCACTGGCCAAAGAAATAAAGCTCAACCTAAACTCATACCTTGAATAAAAAGTAACTCAAAATGGACCATGGGCTTAAATGTAAAATGCAAAACTACAAAACTTCTAGACAGATGTAGGACTAGGCAAAGGGTTCTTAGACTTATTATCAAAAGCATGATCTGTAAAAGTAATAATTGATACATTAAACTTCACCAAAATTAAAAATTTTGCTCTGTGAAAGACCCTGCTAAACGACTAAAAAGACAACTTACAAACTGAGAAAAATATTTTCATATCACATATCTGACAAAGTCCTTGTAACCAGAACATATGAATAACTCTCAAAAGTAAACAATAAAAAGAATCTAATTAGGCAATGGGCAAAAGATACGCATTAGCCACTAGAGAAGTTGCAAATTAAAACTATATACATATCACTACACATCTGAATGAAAAATACTGATAAAACCAATTGCTGGCAGAGATCCAGAAAAACTGGATTATTCAGACATTATTGATGAGAACATAAAATGGCACAATTACTCTGGCCAATGGCTCAGCAGCTCTTTCAAAACTAAAGATGGGATTACCATATAACCCAGCAATTGTACTATTGGGCATATACCCCAGAGAAATGAAGACTTATTCTCATGCAGGAACTTATGCATGAATGATCATAACAGCTTTATTCAGAATAGCCAAAAATGAAAAACTGCTCATATCTCTTTCAAAGACTGAAGGGTTCAACAAACTGTGGTATAACCATACCATAGATGAGTACTTGGCAATAAAATGGAACAAACTATCAACGCATGCAATTACTTAAGTGAACCTCAATAAAGTTACGCTGAACCAAAAACAAAACTCAAAAAAACATGCATGATTTCATTTATATCACAATCATGAAATAACAAAATGGCAAAGGAGAAGAGATTAGTGGTTGCCAGGGATTAAGGATGGGGATGGGGAGAAGAGGTAGGTATGACTGTAAGAGGATAACATGAAAGAGTCTTGTAATGTTGCTGTCGTGAAGTATCTTGATAATAACAGTACTTATGCAAGACACATGTCATAAACTTTATAGAGCTATACACATGCATGCACACACACACACACACACACACACACACACAAGTGAATGCTTGCATAGCTGGCAAAATTGACTAAGTTCTAGGATTCCCACTTTTGCCACTTTCTTGATCTTGAATGTACTATAGTTGTGTAAGATTAACTTGGGATGGAGGGCAGTTTGGCATGGCCTGGGGAAAGGGATTTAGGGGACTTCTCTGTACATTTCTTTGCAACCTCCTGTTAGTCTACAATTACTTCAAAATAAAAAGTTTTAAAAGTATATCCTATAAATTTCTTTTCAGGTAGTAAAAGTAGGCCACATATTAGACTCTAAGCTCTTGAGAAACCAGTCAGAGAAGAAACAATAGCAATCACACAGTTCACAGTACTACACGTTAAAAAAAAAAAAAAAAATCTTGATAGCAAATATGGGAAGAAAGATCTTCCTCCTGCAGATTCTAATGAAAGGAACATTCTGTCTTGAGTTTAGACTCTTTAGCTACAGTCTAGAACCCTGAAGAGTAGCCCTCCACTCTACTTTGTCCTTAAAAATTCTCCAGTGGAAAGTTTCTGTATACCGCTTCAGGCAATGCAGGGACCAACGGCTTCAACAAAGACTTACAATAGACATGATCCCATTTTAGAGCACATTGCAACACTAGGCGGTGGACTTTCTGATAGTAGATCACAGCTAAGATCAAAACCCACTACAAAGGGAGACATGAAAAAAAGCCTTAACAACTCACTTCTCCATTGGGATGCCCTCTCTTTGCCCTTGCCCTGTCTCTCTAACACCTCTATTGTGATTTGTTTCCTTGAAATTTCCATTTCTTTCATGCAGATGCCTTGGTAGATTGTTGTACCTCCAGCTGGACAGGAAGTGCCTTCCCCACCACACAAAGAGACAGAAAAAAAAAAGCAAAAAGGAGGTTCACAGAGAGAATGTCCCTCACACGATGTCCTTCACTAGGACTTGAGCTGACTTAGGGATTTGGGCCAAAACCTCAGCTAATAAAAAAGTGTTCCTTTACCTCATTCTTCCTTCTGTTTATATAAGACAGGATCTAAGTGTCAGGATGTGGGTCCTCACCAAATACCATCTTTCCATCTCAACCCAAGTTTAATAGCAGTGGCTTTCACAGGGATTTGCTTGTTTGCTCCAATCTACAGGGTAAAGGCAAGGAAGTCCACATCCAGGGACCTTTCTGGCCTTACATAGAACCCCATCCACCAAATATATCTGACATTCAATTCTGACTCAACCAATAACTTAAGATGCTGAGTTCAAAACCACCCACTCAAAATAGACTGACTGATGAGGTATGATTATTTCCGGTCTCAGAACATTGAGTAAATGGCTTGCCCCTTAAAGGCCTCTTTTAAAGTAAAGGCACTGCTTACCAGTTTAAACTGAATCCCCAGGGGAAATCTGTAAAGTATAAGGATTTGGATTAAGATGATGATCTTGCCAACTTACGTGGAACTGGTCTGAGGTTGTTCAAATGCTTCTTTTGGAATTTTAAGGCCAGGGTTTCGCTTCTTACCTATGGGGAAAGACATAAGGAAAAAGTTAAGGACTATATCACAGCAAGAGAGCAGAGACAGAAATTGCAGCAAAGGAAAAGAGCTGACCTGCGCATGCAGCTCTCATGTCTCCATTCAAAGCACCGGTTCCTACCCAGAAAGTCTGAGTGTTGAGAATGCAAGTATCAGGTAGAACGGAGCTTCCCAAATACAGATTGTGGTCATGAATGAGGTTTTTCATCAGTCCAGAGTGCAAACATCAGGATAAGAATGCCAACTCCCTTTTCCTAGGAAGTTCCACCCTTTCTCTCCACTGAGAGTTTGTCATTTCAAATTCTTTTTTTTCTTTTCTTTTGGTTTTTTTTTTTTTTTTTTTTTTTTGAGACAGAGTCTTACTCTGTCACCCAGACTGGAGTGCAGTAGTGCAATCTCGACTCACCGCAACTTCTGCCTCCTAGATTCAAGCTATTCTCCTGCCTCAGCCTCCCAAGTAGCTAGGATTATAGACCTGTGCCACCACACCCAGCTAATTTTTTTATTTTAGTAGAGACAAGGCTTTCACCATGTTGGGCAGGCTGGTCTCAAACTCCTGACCTCAGGTCATCTGCCGGCCTTGGCCTCCAAAAGTGCTGGGATTAAAGGCATGAGCCACTACACCCAGCCTATGAGCCACTACACCCAGCCTATGAGCCACCATGCCTGGCCTTCTTTTTTTTTACACTATAATGGCGATGGCAGACACTTGGTCACAGCTTTTTTTTTTTTTCTTTTTAGTGTCAGTAAAGGGTAGTCACCCTTATCTCACTATCCCACTATTTTCTAAATTGATCTGTTAACACCTATGAGAGTTAGCAATGGAAGCAGAATAAAAAATACTTTTCCACTGTTCTGCTCTCCCCTTTTCTCAACCACCTGCTGTAATTTGAAAAACCTGAGAGGGATAGAGCAATACTTATTTACATTTGCCATGTTCCAAAAAGGATTAGGATAGCAGATAGGCTTATGCAAGAAGGTTAGCACTTCTTGGGCCTGATAGAAAGGTAACTTGATGTTGTTCATACCTGTGCTGAAATTACAAGAGAATTTGGCTCAAATAGCTTTGTTAATGAGTAAAAAAGAACAGACTGAGAAATGCCAGCTCAGGAAGCAGATCAGAGCAAACAAGGGCCTGAGGTTTTCCTCATCCATGGATATCCTGTGTCTCTTTGCACTTGGCAGGGGAAACCAAGGGAGAGCTGGATAGCATGGTTGGAAAGAATGCTACCTCCTTTCCCACCTCTTCTCCATGTTGCAGATGACCACTCAGAGATAATACAAGCCCTGGATACAACCCTGGATAGATCCTGAAATTGCAAAGAAACAGGAAATCAACTAAAGTGGCTGGGCATGGTGGCTTACACCAGTAATCCTAACACTTTGAGAGGCCAAGGTGGGTGGATCATGAGGTCAGGAGTTTGAGACCAGCCTGGCCAACATAGTGAAACCCCATTTCTACTAAAAATACAAAAATTAGCCAGGCGTAATGGCAGGCACCTGTAATCCCAGCTACTCAGGAGGTGGAAGCAGGAGAATCACTTGAATCCGGGAGGCAGAGGCTGCAGTGAGCCGAGATCGTGCCATTGTACTCCAGCCTGGGTGACAGTATGAGACTCTGTCTCAAAAAAAAAAAAAAAAGAAAAGAAATCAACCAAAGTAACCTCCTTGCAGAAAAGTGACATCCAAAGATGTGAGTGACTTGCTTCACATCACAGAGGCCCGCAATGACCCATTCAGAATCAGAATTCAGGTCTCCTAACACCCAGGTGCGAGTTCTTGCTGCTATACTGCAATAGAAGACATTTAGAGATGACCAGAGAGGGGGGAGTTGAGAGGAACATGGGATTTTGAGTTTTAAAATACCCAGCTGACTGATTCTTCCATGCACCAAGCAACTTCTGCAATCACTTTTCATCTGACACTCTTGCTTTTCTCAATTATAAAATGAGGAAGTAACATCAATACCCACCTCCCTGGACTGATTTGAAAATCAAAGCAGATAATATATATGAAAGAACATTTAAGCAGCTAGCTGTTAATTAGACTCATAGAGTGAAATAATCAGTACTGTCTCATTTCTTTAAAAGTCATTTGAAAAATTCATGAAGAGAATTGGCCATATTATCACAGCCCAATATAATGTATAATGAAATTTTTTCTTTCTATTCCTTCAGAATCCAAAATGAGATCAATTCTGCCAAGCTGTATAAAGCCAGGAAAAAAATATGCTTGGCAGTAATCAGCCTAGAGAAAGCCTTTTAGGACCACCTTCAGAATAACAGACTTTCTCAATTCTCTCCTCGTTTGGGTTTACCTATGTATTTTATAAGGTTCAAAACTCACCATTCACTTTCCTGCTCTTGGAACTCAAACAGCTGTTAGGAATGTTACTAAATTAGTCAGTTATTGACATTACATAGAGCTTCCCTATGTACCAGGAGCTATGCTAGGTGCTGGACCCAGTTATGAGAATACAAATAGATGTATAGCCTAATGTCAACAATTCCCATCCATGGGCATCAGCCAAACAGACAGAGAATGTTATTTTCAGTGAGATTCTTCAGTGAGGAATGAATGACAGATTCAACTTGCTTAGATAACTGTAAAGATAACTACATGCAGATTCCAGTACAGATGACAGATAATTCAGGTAATCCCAACAGAGGTAACCCTACAGTTCTCTCAAAGAAAACAAAAGCTAAAGTAACATATATTTTGCCTATGAAAATGGGTCTCCAGTTACCATTTAAGCAAACCAAAAGCAGAAGTTACTCTTAAATTCCTACATGTTTCTCTTCCTCATTTCTAACTCAATTCTTATAAGATAGACGTAAAGAGAAATAGCTATTTGTTAAGAAAACCCCTTTGAAAAACCTTAATACAGCGATTAATTAGTAGCAATTCTTAACAGCAATTAACTATTACACCATAACTTAAATCATCCAAACATCTATACAAAGAAATAGTAAAAAACACTGAAAGTTTTTGCACAGAGACCAAAAGAATAAAAGATCAAAATAAGAATAGTCTTCCAAGTGGGAGAAGGCCCTTGATTCTCTCCCCAGATCACTTCTACACCCAGCCACCCACCTTAACCCCCAAATCAACATCACTCTTACCCTGAATTTACTGCCTCCTAGTTGAAATTGCCAGCCTCCTGTCTCCAGACTCTAAACCCTTGACTATATATAAGTTGGACATCTGTATATCTTAAACCTAGTATTTCCAAATATACCAACTCCTTAGAACAACGAGAGAAAAAAAAAACAGATCCAGAAGACTCAAAACCTAGTTGAATTACAGTGTTAGAAAATACTCTGCCTTCACGCTAAAAAGTAGATCAAATAAAATAAAAATCACAAGCACACAGAGCAACATTCTGTAATTCACTTACTTGCCCATCTGTGACAGAGCTGCACAATGAGAGTTCAGCAGAGGCGACTCTGATGAGGTTCCCAGGGCTGCAAGGAAGGCCAGCAGAGGAAAACCCCATAGAAGTCATTCTTCACTTAGCTCCAAAGACCACACTTCAGCAAGAAGAAACAGAACTGAACAGACTCCACCCCTCCTCATGTTCGGATGGCAGCAAACCTCTGCAAGTTCATTGTTCCCAGGAAATTGCAGCTTCGGGAAGGGAGAAGGGACGTGGGTCTATGTGGACACCCAGGTGTGACATTAATCATTAACCCAACTTGGAGGAATAAATCTATAAGGTAATTCTGGACAGGACCGTGTTCTGCAGCCTTTCTATAAATGCCTCTTTCACTTCTTAAAAGAAAGAAAAACAATATGTGGTCAGTTTCCAGCTGTGTTTACATCACAGCAATCTGTTCCCCCAGGAAGGCAGCCAACACCTGACGCTAACATTGAACACTGTTAAAAAAAAAAAAAAAAAAAATGGGAGGGAGCACTACGAATAATAAAGCTGAGTGGCCAACTATGTTCAACAGCCTTTTTCTTTGATATTCCAAAGCAAAGCAGAAAAAAAAAATCAGAAAAAAAGGGCTTTCTATGATGTCACATGCTAGCAACAAACCTTCTCGGAATGAGAGAATTCTGTATATTTCTGCAGATCACAACAAGCCCCGACTGCTTATTGGCACAGTCTGCAAAGGGTAAGCCTCGTCGGCCTCATTGGGCATATACAGCACTATATTGCCTCAGATCCTGTTACACCCATGTCTGTGTTCTCTGAAAATAGTGTAGTCCCAACACACACATATATTTGCAAAATTCATCTTAAACCAAAGCAAAGCTGGGTCATTATAATCCTGGCCTGGAGCAACATGGCACTGGAAGAAAAAAAAAACAACCTTGCCAATAGCTAGAAAATATTTACCAGGCCACAGAAATGTTCGCTAGCTTTGACTGCAGCGAAAATGATGGGGTACACGAGAGGTCTTGCACACACTCTGACAGGGTAAGCACAAAGGACTTCTCTGATGTTCCTCATTACATAAAACAGAAGATTGTGTTCCACTGCCAACCCAAACAGCATGAGAAGCCCGTGCGGTCAACAGAAGGTGGCATCGTGAAGATATGCTGATGCCTAAATATTTGTTAGCTTGGCTGAGGGTTGGGGGCATGATTATGAAACTTTATGATTATTGACATGGCTTCACAAAAGGATGGCAGTGCTTCCAGTGCCAAATTTATTTTAAAAATCTGTTTTCCAATATGAATGGAATTCCCAGCCAAGTAACTGGCAATCTAGAGGCCTTGGCTGCCCTCTCCTTACTACTTGCATCTAGGCTTACGTTCCAAGGGTAGCTGGCAATAAAATCAGCAGTGAAGTATCATTCAATGTTATTAAATTGCAATGATCATATGCAAAGCGACTAACGAAGCAGGGCAGGGGAAGAGGCGTGCAGGAAGAAAGCTGGCTTTGCAACAGAGATGTAAAAGTGAACAGGGACCCTGCCATCCTCCAAAACCACTGGTTCTTATAAACCACTGAGACTCCAACCAGTAGGACAAATTTCTCTGGAATCACATAAAGTTTAGAGAATAAAAGCTAAAAAGCTCTTTTTTTTTTTTTTTTTAGACAGAGTCTCACTTTGTCACCCAGGCTGGAGTGCAGTGGCACTATCTTGGCTCACAGAAACCTCCACCTCCCAGGTTCAAGCAATTCTCATGTCCCTCAGCCTCCCCAGTAGCTGCATGTGGGAATATAGGCACGCACCACCCCACCTGGCTAATTTTTGTATTTTTAGTAGAGATGGGGTTTTGCCATGTGGGCCAGGCTAATCTCAAACTCCTGACCTCAGGAGGTGATCCGTCTGCCTTGGCCTCCCAAAGTGCTGTTGCTGGGATGACAGGTGTGAGCCACCGTGCCCTAGCAGCATCTAGCATATAGGTACTCAATAAATACTTTCCTTTCTCCCTTCCATATTTGTGCTTATATTGTAAAACTTGCAGTCAGTTTGATTTCAGAGTCAGAATGAGTCTCCTAAGATCTTACCTTTCCTCATGCTGTTCCTTCTACCTGGGGGGCTCTAGGTAGATACTCTTCCTCTAAGAAGGGTTCTTGCAGACAAGATTACTCAACCTTCCAAATTCAAAACCTCCCTCAAAGAACCTTCCCAGATCTTCCTGAACATAACCCAAGGATTACTATCCACACATTCCTGCTTTCCCATTCCAGCACCTTACCCATGGCCTGCAACACAATATGAGATCAAAGTAGCTTCCCTGAAACTTTGATTTTTTTTTGTTGCAAATGTCCACTCTCTCTAAAATAGAACTCCATGATCATCTTCCATTCATTTCCTACATACCTTTTCTCACAATATAGAATTATTTTATTTTTGTATTTATTTACTTTTGCATTTATTTATTACTTGTTTACCTATCTTTCCCTACTAGAATATAAGTTCCATGATGGCCAACGATTCTGCCCAGCACCTGCTCATCATAAATATTTGTTGACTGAATATTTATTAGTCTTTTCTCAACTCTTTTGAACATTTGTACAGAGCTCTTCAAAAAACAAAATAAACAACCAAGAATGGAATGTAAATTGCACAAATCTATGCAACAATAAGACATTATTTCAAATCCCAGCTGTCCCACTTAGTGACATAACGTTTAGAACGTTTCTTGTCTTAAACTAAGTTTCCACGTTGGAGACAACGTACAATCTCCCCAGGTCATTAAGAGACTCAATTGACACACTATGTGTGAAGAAGCCTAGCCGGGTCTAGCAAAACATAGGTACTCAATAAATACCTTCTTTTCTCCCTTCCATATTTGTGCTTTTATTTTTCAAATATGAGCTAAGCAGAATGTTCCCTGGATGACATCTTATTTCTTCAAATTCCATGCTCCACTCTTCCTCTTTTGTGTTAAGCTAGAATTACATTTTTCAAACATCTCATCAATCTTGAATCATCCTCAGGGTTTCTGGGACTGAGTGTAGTGAGTACTTATAATTTTACATTGTCTCAGTATCCTTTTTTTTTTTTGGAGACAGAGTTTTGCACTGTCACCCATGCTGGATCGAGTACAATAGTGCTATCTCAGCTCACTGCAACCTCCACCTCCTGGGTTCAAGCAACTGTCCTTCCTCAGTCACCCGAGCAGCTAGGATTACAGGTGCCCACCACTGAGCTCGGCTAATTTTTGTGTTTTTAGTAGAGACAGGGTTTTGACATGTTGGCCAGGCTGGTCTCAAACTCCTGATCTCAAGTTATCCTCCTGCCTTGGCCTCCCAAAGTGCTGGGAATAGAGGCATGAGCGACCATGCCCGGCCCTCAGTAATCATTTTTAAACCTAAGTTAAAATTTCTCATACAAGAAGCAGGACTCAGTCACTCTTGACATGGTTTCTAGTACCGTACTCCACCAGAGTGGCTCCAAACCAGTGGCAGAGATGAAACTTACAGACATCTCTCCTGCCTAGCAGGCTGGCCTCCCTACTTTCCTGCCACATCCTTTAAACCGATCATACGGACATCTGCCTCACACTGTAACCTCCTAGAATTACTGCCTGCTTGCTTTAAACCCAGAAATTAAAATTCCCTGCAGGAAACTGGATAACACCCTGTACCCAATAAAGACATTGGCCCACTGGTCCCTCCTCTCTCTCTGAGTGCGTGCATGCATGTGTGTGTGTGACTTCCAGGCATGCTGGGTCCCATACAGAGTCTCTAAGTGCTAAAAACTCTTAAAATCTCACATCTTAGTTGTGTCACTGAAACCACACTTGCAGTCCTATCCCGACTGGTGAAACTGCCCCAAAAGGACACATGCAGGTGGGATCCCTGCTAATGCTCTTTTGTTCAGTTCTCTCAGCTACTGGGGACAGTAGTTACTGGCTAAGTTGATAGAGTGAGGCTTCAGGAGCCATATTTTGTTCTTTTTTAAGTTTAACAAGTATCTGAGACCCCAGCCACAGTCAAGTAGCCCTTGTCTACCATATGTCTATGTAAAGTTGTTTTTTGTTTGTCTTGTTTTACCATTTCTCACTTTATGATGAAAATGTCACTTTCCTTTCAGGCTCTTGTCACGTTCTCTACAACCCACCAGTTCTTTCTGATTAGTAAGAACGAAATTCCAAACTAGCTCTCATTGAATTATCTCCATCTTAAGAGTTGAAATTGTCAATCATTCCCCAGGGTACACATTGCAAGGTTCAAAATTTATTAAGATGCAAATTCTGCCATCGAAGAGTTAGGAGATATGAAAATCCAACTCTATAGTAACAGTGAGTATATGTGATGTACAATACAAGCATTGCACCCTGAAAGCAGGAGAGAAGAAATGAAACAAGCAACACCAAAAAATGGTCTCAGCCCAGTGCAGTGGCTCATGCCTGTAATCCCAGCACTCTGGGAGGCCGAGGCAGGTGGATCATGAGGTCAGGAGATTGAGACCATCCTGGCCAACATGGTGAAAGCCCATGTCTACTAAAAATGCAACAATTAGCTGGGTGTGGTGGTGTGCCTATAGTCCCAGCTACTGGGGAGGCTGAGGCAGGAGAATCCCCTGAACTTGGGAGGCAGAGGTTGCAGTGAGCCGAGATTGTGCCACTACACTCCAACCTGGAGACAGAGTGAGACTCAAAAAAAAAAAAAAAATGGTCTCACATAGGGAGTGATATTTGAAGTGGCACTTTGATAATTGGTAGGATTTAAGGTTACATGAGGGTTTGTTATACTATATGTCTTCTTTGTATATATTTAAATGTTTCCAAAATCAAAGTTGAAAACGATGACGGGTGGGATTTTGGCATTTTGGCAATCAGGGCTTGCGGAGACAATAGGAGGATTCGAAGCAAAATGAGGATGAACTATCTATGTAAGGAGAAGCACTGTGGTATAGTCAAAGAATTCTGAGTTTTCTACACTGAATGAAGTGAAAGGTGGTGGAGAGAGAAGCCTAGAGGAGGAGGCTGGAGTCAGAGATTGAAACACTATAACTAATAAAAGTTAAATTTCAGATTTAAAGAGCCATTTATATTTTTCAGTAGCAGAGTGTCATGCCACATCTATGCTTTAGGAAAAAAAAAGATATAACAAGATTAACTGATCTAATATCTGGATGTTTGAAACTGTGTTACATACACACTCACCCATAAACCCACATACTCTCATCCCTTGATGTCTTATGCCTCCAGGTCTTTGCTCATATTTTCCTCAGAATGTCATTATTACCTGTTTTCCCCAGTCAACTTCGAAACTCAACTCAAGCATGTTTTTCTCCAGGAAGCCCTTCATGAAAGTCCCCAATACAATAAATACTTTTCCTCTGCATTGCCACAGTATCCTGGACCTTCCTATACTGATTAAGTGAACTCATCTCTTCAT